GCCGGGCGCGTCTAAGGGTGCGGGGAGACAGTTTGCGTCCCACGTCCGGGGCCGAGGGTCTGCGCTACCCACTTTTCCTCCTTTTCACAGAACAGCACCTTCTTACAAAACTGATCGGAGGTTGGACCGGGAGGGCAGGGACCGGAGGCGGGTCATGGGCTGGGGAGGGGCGGGGGGGGGGGGGAGAAGGGGGGGGGAAACCCTGAGACTCAGAGAAGCATCGAGAACCGGAAGGAGTCCATAGCAGGAAGGTAGAGGAAACGGCAGCTGCGCCGTAGAACCCCACGCCCCTCCCAGCAGCGTCCCCCAGTTTTTCTCACTTGGTCTGGAGGCGGTTCTCGCGATAACCTCGTGGCTGCTTTCCCGGAGCTGGAGCTCTGCAATGACTTAAGGGCAGTTTTGTGCACTCTTCCTGATGTGGGCCCGCCCCCAAACCCACAAACTCTCGCGAGACTCACTAGGCACCGGTTGGCGCTGGGGCGGGCCGCGGCCGGGAAGCACCGCCCCTGAATGCTTGTGCTGGTGGGAGGGAGAGGAAATGGAATTCCCCGGCCTGGTCAGGGCGCGCGCCGACACAGCCTTCTCACGCGCCCAATCAGGAATGTGCGGTGGGAGGCGCCGAGGACTAATTGCGAGATACTTGTAGTCGGGGTTCACCCGGGCTTGTGAAGTTGGCGGTGGAGCAGGTGAGAGCTCTTGACTCTCCTGCGGGTCTGGCCCGTTTGACCATTGGGCGGAGGCGCAGCCCAGCGTGGGAATCGTAATTTAAAACAGAACCTAGCGGGCCGCTGATCGGCGCTCCCATCAGCCGAAATCTAATGTATTTCTGACCTGAGAGGATCGATATACTGAGAAGAGCAGACCCATAGAGACCTGTTCCCATAACTTGAGCAGCCTAGGAATCAAGCGCAGCTGTGAATTTAGTAGATGGAGGAGGGGGAGAGAGAGAGGGCTGTTTGCTGGTCTCTGTAAGCAGCCGGCACCATCCGCCAAGGGTTAGGTATGGAATAGACTTACTACTCCTTTCCTCCTGTTACGTTTTTACTCCTTGAGCCACAGCGTTGCGAAACTCAATCAGGAATTCAAAGTTTTGGGTCCGAAAACTCAATACGTAGTGAAACATCCAGGGGAAGGAATACTAGGACAGGATTGGCCTGTTTTAATCTGCCGGGTCTGAAGTATGGAGAGGGTGATTTTGCTCTCTAGTGTTTCTTTCTGGCAGAGGTTAGTAAGACAATTTTAAAAAGGCATTTAAAGGTAAGCATTGACCTGCTTAACGTTTTCTAATATTCCTTAATGATCCCAATTAACGACGTGGAGGTCTTTAAGAATTAAATAGCAAGGTAAACTTGTTTTTAAAATACACTTTTAAAGGGGGAAACAGCAAGTTGTTTTCCTGTTACAAGAATGCCTTACCTAGGAAAAACTTCATAGGTCTGCTAAGTTAGCTAATACAGTACATACTGTCCAAGAGAACATAATAGTGCCATTAGGGCAATTAGTGAAACAGTGTTTCTCAAACCGGTCGCTATTGAAATCACCTAGGCCCCTAGGGGTTTTGTTGAAATGCTGATTTTTATTTGGGCCAGGAGGAAGCCTGAGATTCTACATTTCTAATAAACTCCAGGTGACACAGATTATTCTGGTCAGAGCAACTCACTGCGAGTAGCAAAAGCACTAACGTGCTCGCCTCCTGGCCTCCCCACCCCCCCAACCAATAATCGTTTCCTTGCTCTTTCTTTTAACCAGTCTAATAGAGTAGGAACACAGGGTTAGGCAGTTGGAGTGGAGGGAGAAATCCAGGTTTCACTTTTGGCTTTGTCGCTTCCCATATGTGTGCTATTGTGTGGTTACTTAGTTTCTTCAACACAAAACTAGGCACAGTAATAGCTGTTGTCCTTTCTCACAGGGTTATTGTGTCGTTTAGATGTCATAATGTATGTGAAAGGACACTGTAGACTGCAGTGGTGTATAAATGTAAGTTATTAAACTAACCAGTGAGACATTAACTGGCCATAGTGTGGAATAAATCTGTAAGCATAATAATAAAGGTAATATTTATAGAGCACATTACCAGATACTATGCTTGTTAACCCCCTTTACAAATAAAGAAACTGATGCAGAGATTAAATTACTATCTCAAGGTCACACAGCTAATAAATGGCAGAAATAGAATTTGAACCCATGCCGTTGACTTTAGAGTATTTATTGAATGGGATTTCATATCATCTCTTAATTTAGAAAGTAGGAAAGTAGAATGTTTTGTGTTTCTACTTTCAATGCTATCTGAATCTAATTTTATATGACTCATTTCCCCATCTATTTGTTTTGTTCTTTCAGAAGCCAGGCTTTAGGGGTGGTAGGAAACATTCCCACCTTGGAGAAGCCAATTTATATTACTTCATTTAAACAACTTCAGTATGAAAGTATCATAAAACATGTTAATGCCCAGAACTAACAGAGCACAGAGGACTGGGACAGAGTTCTTGCATTTTTTTAGTGCTAAAAACCACTTTGGCAGTTTGGTGAAGCCATGAACTCTTCTCAGAATAATGTTTTTAAATGTATAAAATAAAACTTATAGTATTATAAAAGAAAACATTTTCAAATAGTCACAAAATATTTTTTAAAAATTGATATAGGAATAAATGTGCTTTATTAACACATTTGTGATGGGTTTAGAAAGACCAAATTTTTGAAATGAGGAACATAAATATTTCCTGAGTTTGCAACAGTTGTGATATAAAGTATCTGTGATTCTATTGGTGACACAGATATAGATTTGTTTCTTCTATTCAAAATTGAAGGAAATGTGAATTTTCAGTTAGAGATTAGTAAAAATAAAGATGTAATTTTTTTCACATCTAGGTTCACATTCTGATTTCTATTCATGAACTATATGTTAAAAAAGTGTTAGGTAGAGTCAAGTAGGCTTATTCCTGTGATTCATCAAGAAAAAGCTTAATTGCCACCAGTATACTCTCCTCAAGAAGGCATGAGCCCAGCTTGCGTAGCTCATTGGTTGAGTGTCTACCTATGAACCAGGAGGTTGCAGTTCGATTCCCGTCTGCGCACATGCCCGGGTTGTGAGCCCAGTCCCCAGTAGAGGGCGTGCAGGAGTTAGCCGATCAATGTTTCTTTCCTCATCATTGATATTTCTATCTATCCCTCTCCCTTCTCTGAAATCAATAAAATATATATATATTTTTTTTAAAAAAGAAGGCATGGAAGTGTGTAATAGGTTTAGGAAATAGTTTTATCCCATTGGTGTTTTTTTTTTATACCTATAAAGTGCCACTTATGGAAAATTTACCTATCCAGAATGGTTCATTTCCCAAGCATTCTGGATAACTTAGATTTTACTATCTTATTCTTATTCATTATATACCTTCACAAATAAGATGTGGTGGAAGAACACAAATGGAAAATAATAAGGTTGAAAGAAATTAAAATATGGTATATTTAAAATTTTTGAAAATAAGTGTTAATAATTATTATTTGAAGTACTGTATGCTAGGTTCTCATTATCTCATCAAATCCCTGTTAGACAGATGAAACACTCAAGTTCATATAATAATTAGTAGAGCCAGGATTTAAACCTGGCCTCAAAGCTCACACTTTTTAAAAAATATATATTTTTATTGTTTTCAGAGACAAAGGGAGAAGGATAGAAACATCAATAATGAGAGAGAATCATTGATCAGCTGTCTCCTGCATGCCCTCTACTGGGGATCAAACCTGCAATCAGGGCATGTGCCTGACCAGGAATCCAGATTTTATATTCAGAATGTATGTTTACATACTCTGCTTGGAACTTATTCAGCTAAATGTTACTTCATATTGTTTGCATGAAAAATGTGTTTCTATAGCTTACCTGTTCAGAATCTCATATTTATGATCAAGACAAGTCATGTGGTTTAGGAGACT